GAATAAACTCACGGAAGAAGACTGTTCAATAATTTATCAAATCACGATGGAGTGGAACTAACTGATTTCATGGATTGAGGATAATTCGATCGGAATACTACCGTTTCTACGGTTGAAATTCAAGACCGATTAGGATAAAGGAGTTTACATCACTACCATCACCAACTATGTCGATGGAAAACTGATCACAATCATGGACAGCATACATCTAACCATGATCGTGTATATTATCAGTCACGTATCAAAGTGCTTGATTTTTTAACACATTTGATCGTTAATTCTTTGTCTTAATTTTTCTGAAATGTTTTTTGAATGGGAGATATAAGTCAGAAAGTTCTATCAATATTGAAGTCAGTGTGCCGGATGCTTGAGAAATTTTGTAGAATTTAGAGCACATCTACAATTACAGTAGGCATGTCATCCACTTTGCGTTTGTGGATGATTTCATACAGACGCAGTCCCTTTGTAGGTAGTGCTTTCCAGGGCAAGTAGCAATTAAAGGCAAATCAAGGTGAACAGTTCATGCATCGCTACGACCAAACGATCATGTAAAACCAGTAGACTAGATTGTGCAGATCAATCCTTTGCTTTTCGTTTGGGTGCAAATCGTACGAATTATCAACCACTGAGGTCTATTCCAGTTTATTCCAAAATAATCACCAACAGTTCGATTTATTTTCATTGCGGATGAAGGAGGAATCAATTTTGGCCTGTGCAGCGAATGATTCGAGGGGAGAAGCGAACTGCAATATTCACACCTTCGGCCAATGCATGCTTATTATCTCGTCAAGATTGCCTTTCAGTGTCAAAAATACGTAGGCAATCGCATTCGACTCAAAATAATCGGTGTTATTTGAGACAAATCACGGCCCCAATGGAATTTACTCACTAGGATATTGAGGGGCCTAGATATAATCCCTTCATGCAGTGATTCATCTCAACATTCTCATCTGAGCATGATAACCGATTGGTAGATCCCTAATGACGTGATTGGCTTCCTTACCCGACCGAGAGAGGTCAATTACCCCCGTGGTCGTTCATTCGCGCCTATGACGCAGTCTCACTCAACGGTCATGGACATAACGTTCCCGGGCGCGTGGAGAACAGCCCGAAACTTTTGTCCTCGCTCGACAACTCACTCGAAAAGTATTTTTATTTGTTGGCAGAGAATTTAGTTCATTCCGACTGGGCAGGATTAAGACGGACCCGATCCAATCGGTCACGCTTGACGGCCGAAACACGAATGATCATTTTGGGTTTCCAGTGGAATGTAATTGGTTTGATTCACTTAAAGTTATAACGGGTTCACTTGAAATTGAAAAGGTACAGACGAATAAAATGGCGACAGTGACAGCTAAAGACGATACAAAATTTTGGCTCACGTTTTCTGTAAAGTGAGCACTATGGATACCAAAGACAGTGTGGTGTGATTGATGGTAAATGTTTCCAATATTCTGTGCTTGTTCGTTGTTTGAAAAAATCTTTGTCACATGAAACGAATTACTGAAAAAGAAAACAACCGATCGCTTACGGCACGAACAAGACGATTCACAGGATAACGGGTGATATCCACCCCATCACGGACCAGGGGCAATTTCCTCGCACAGGATTTGAACTGGTATGTCAAATGATTCACTAAAACAGAGATGTACAAAAAAATGGAATCGAGGGGCACTGAAATGTGCTGTTCAATACCTTCCGCAATCTACTCCACGCATTTTGTATTTTCATACCACCTTTTCCCTCTCCCAGTCAATATGCTCAATATCCTATAATCAAATCAACTAAACTAATATTTCACTTAGTAACCCATTCATTCACTAGGGATGAAACTCATAACAAAGTGAATGATAGTTTCGAAGTGGAAATTCGTCGTGTATTTGGCAAATAAAGTGTGGAAGGAAAAACTAAGAAGAACTGGACAGTTGTTTCGACCTGTTTGGATCTCATCAGCAGTGCGAATCCAACAACTGCCCGGTGGCCGAGTGGGTAGCACGCTTGCGTTCTGTTCATGAGGTCCCGGGTTCGATCCCCAGTAGAGTCGATCGATTCGCACTGCTGATGAGACCCCAACAGATCGAAACAGCTATCCAGTGCTTCTTAGCCTTTCACTTCACCGTTCATTTGCTATATACACGACGAATTCACCTTTGAAATTGAATCAAATACTCTATTACTTATTTGGGTTAATAATGGCCAAAATAACGGTATATCCAAACTCCACAATAAACTGTGGCTGCCTTCACACCCACAATCCAATTTATAAACTAGATGTGAGACACACTTATTATTCTGAGTCCCTTTTGTACCGTGAAGTTCTTTCCTCGAAACCTATACTCATCAAACACAGTCAAACACATTTACCACGAATCTGGCACACACCAAAAGTGACTGTTCGTGACGAGTTCTAACGAGTAGATTCCACTAGGTGATGTTCATCCGACAACATGCATTTCCAATGGCAATAATTCAGACAGGCAAAGGACGTTGTTGTTTGCTGCACAAAAACATTCTGGTAACGCACGACAGATATCTGGTAAACTAAATAGAATGTTTGGGAAAATGAAAGACTAGTCAGAAGAAACCATAACATGAGTGTTAAGACGGAGCTATCAGAACCCGCCAGGCCACGCATCGTCCCGCGTCACACCACAAGTGCCTGCACGACGCCCAAAGCCAAATTCACTCCGAATTGGGTGATTATGGCGAATCAGATAGCTTCCGTCCCATCGATCAACCGGATTATCACGGATGCGATCTGATTGCTGCGTCAACATGTACACGGAATTTATCACATATATTTGCGTACTGTGTCACGATCGAATAATATACTCTGACAGTTGTTCTCTCATTCGTGTTCCCTATCTCCGTATGGTTGTTGGGGGCTAGTCAAGAGGGGCTCGTAGCGATGATACGTCTTGGCAAGACATAACAATGAGCATTCTTGTGTTTATTTTTTATTTGAAAGTAAAGGAACGAAACTGATTTACCATCAGTCCAGGGGTTTGATATACTACAATGCCTCATAGAGTAATGAGAGTTTCTGTTTTCAAATCACTTAATAGTTACAACACAGAAGTAATAACGGCCTCTTCTACCAATATAAGGACTTACTCAAAAGGCTGTAGGTCTCAAGTATATTTGGCGGGGTTGTCGAAAGTCCCTTGCTGATATAACGCAGAGCCAGTGACTGAAATAAACCAATTGGGATGAGATGTGGTCATTAGGAAACAAAAACAAAGTTCACTGCCAATCATACTTTGTAGTTCAACAATTCTCTGATCCCAGAATACGTCGATTTTGACAGCCAGATTCGGTTATAAGCCCGTCGAATGATTACGATTACCTCTCTCACCTTCTATGTCCCTTTATCCGCCTTTGTTTTGTTTTATCTGAGTACAATTCAACCAGCATTTTCATAATTTTATCTTATTTTCCCAGTCAGTTCGATGGATTATAAAGGTTTTGAATCAAGACCAGATCACAATGAGGAGAATAACAGTATCGGGATCATAAACACTGTGAAATAAATTATCATTACCGCCGTCTGTTCATTGTTATATCCTTAAAGTCCTCCGATTTGTGAAAATCCGATTTTTTCGAACCTCGGTCTGTCAGGAGCCTATGCCTTCACTCACCGTCTTTGGTGATCAGCTTTAAGCCATTGAGAGCTTTATCGCAGCTGCTGCAGGTGTTGGGAGGAAACCGTATCATGACTAGCAAAAGCCAGAGCAGTTTTCGACAACCTGTGACACTTGTGGCGCCGTCATGACATCCGACTATCCCTCAAGGGAAAGGTGTACACTGCCACGGTTCGTAGCGTTCTGCTTTACGCTTGAGAGACCTGGTCTTTCCTCGTTGATGCTAATCGACTTTCTGTATTCGACCACCGATGTCTTCGAAGTATTTCTCGTGTCTGGTGGGAACATTGGGTGAGCAGTGACGGGGTTGGTCGTCGTGTGTTGAGTGCGTATAGTCGTCCTCTAACAGAAGTCATCGCTCTACACCGCCTCCGATGGCTTGGTCACGTATTGCGTATGCCTGCCCATCGACTACCTTTTCGTGCTCTATTTGCACTTGCCGAGCAAGGCTGGAAGATGCGCTGCGGCGGTCAGACCATGACATGGCGTAGAGATACGAAGAAGCTGGTTTCAGCTTTGACCTCGTTTGGTGCAGCCCGCCTTCTAGGCTGGGGGCCAAGGGATGAGGATTGTCGTTGGTTAGAGACGCTAAGATATATGGCCCGGAATAGAATTCAGTGGCGCGAATGCTGTACTGTCTGCCTGTTGAAGTCCCGTGCCCCATAAAAAAAACGATAAACTTACACATAAATTTCAAAAGGTGTACGGTGAAACATAAAAAATGTGATTTCATTTGTTTGCAATTTTCCATTTAAAAAGTTTTACCTTTGTTACTATATTTTGTATCCCAACTCCCCATTCCGTTATTGTTATTGATATTATTGTTGTGGCGTTGGCACCATCTTTGACCGCAGATCGGTGTTAAATATACATATATCTAGTCTGAAAGTTGTTGTACCAAAACACAAGTGCAACGCAAACACAATTTCTTTTCTCCGTCAAGCTTTTTCATGACTTACTCTTCGCGCTGCCATCTAGCCAGCAAAACACTTCAAGACATATATTGACCCGGGTAGGGCGTGTCTCAAATACCTCGAACGATGCTCTGTAGACATAAGTGGTCAAAACAAATAGTTCGTAAATAACAATTCCTCGATCAGGCTAATTTTCGCGGCTGTACACCAATAAGCACGCCTTACAACGCTTCGCATATGTCATTTGGAGTGATCTGTCACGCGGATACCAGAGAGATGTCGCTCGCTAGCAACTTTGACAAGGATTTTCACAAAATGTTTTAGGTCTTAAATAATGTCACGTTTTGGTAAGTAATATGATATCATAATTATTTCAGAGAGAGAGAGAGCTACGAACAACCCCGATCGGTGATTTTACCAGCAATATTCATATGAATGTACACTGTTATGGTGCATAATTGTCAATATGTTTGAAGAGCCTTACCCACAATGTCTCGTCCGGATCGTTCAATGCATCGGCCAAACCGGTTCGAAGATTTCCACCAACCAATGGATACGAACTTGATGGTTGCATGTCCGAATCGTGCAACCATTTGTTCGATTGTGTGGTCGTTTTATCCATCCAAGTATTCCGCTCTTTTCGACTGTCCGACTGTTTGGGGGATTCTGTGTCTCGCCTAACCTGTTCCCGAGCATTCGATTCCGCGTTTTCGAGTGTAACTCCAGGTGCACTCCAAGCTTCACAGGCCTGGATATCAATGATAGGCAAGTGAACCAGATGACGTAATGCCTGCTGACGATTGGCCAGTTGACTGTGATTGCGGTCCAATGCGGTGGCCAAGGTCATCAGTTGATCTTGATTCAGGACAGTGAATCCAGACTGAAACAAAGAAAGTGCAAATAAGCACAAGAATATTCGTCATAAATTAGGCTCAGTTGTTTTGGTCATCAACTTTGACTGTCATCCTCCAATCCATTGTGTTTCGGCAAAAGTGACAAAAGTGATCCAATGAGTCAATCGCGGTCTACAGCTGTCCTGTATACTTGCATTTGTATTGGTATGAAATAGGAGTACGTGTAGGGAAAGAATATGGTTTACATAGATATTACTATGTATGCTTCCTTAGTGCTGCTCGCGGTACTGCAAGCGATAGACGCAGTGACTTTGTCGGAAATAAACAAACCCTGCCATTGCCACCCGACTTTGGTGGTAGCCCGATCTGCCGCCGTTTGATTCAATACCACGCCTAACTTAGCGGGGCCTTATATGGTTCACGACTCCAAGTCCCAGGGCTTAGGTTGCCGGTTTCCATTACTGAACAGGTCCTCTTGACTATGGGGTTCGCCTCGTTTTCTGTTCATCACACTCAGGTGTATAATAAAAAACAATAAGGTGTTGACTTATTAAGTGGCACAGTAGTTCCGGGTCATATATTTACATCATAATAAATTTCTTTATTCATGTTGCTAATAAACATTTTTGTAATTTCATTATCGCCCACACTTTTTTAAATTTAGTAGACCCCGATATCATTGCCAGATACCCTGATATCCAGCTCAAATATTTCTATAAGGTTGGAATCAAGGGGTCTGGACAACTAACGAACTACGATGACTGTGGCTGAAATTCAGTTCTCTCTCACACATACAAAAACGAAACTTCATTTGCTTGTAACGCTTGTCAAAAAAATGGCACACTGTGGGTGTGTGAGCAAGTTGAACATAAATAGATGTTCGCTATGCTGTCGATGAACTGGACAAGCCAAATGCTTCATTGGCTAATTGTGGTATCGTGCAGGATACCGCCCACGTAGTAGTACTATTAGAGAATCTTGAACGGATACCGGGATACCTTGAAATAAAAAATGTACAGTCAGACAAACGTTGATTCCCAAAACACCTGATATTGGTGTGACCGTGTAAGAAACAGACGGAAAAGCATGAAGACCAAGATTTAGGGACAGATTTCCACTAACCAACACCTTTGATCGATAAATTCGAGTGAATAGCGTTTTTTGCTGCATTGTGTAGCACTTGTTGAATGTATACTTCACACGCATCTCAGTCCGAACTATGTACTAAACAAACCACGGTACAACGATTCTTTTCAAACAAAGAAATGAGCCCAGGATTTTTTCGTGGGAGAAACACTACCAGGCTGCTTAGACCAAATCAGGTGTACGTTCTTGGAGGAATCACAACCGGAGCCTGCGGTTAACCACATCCAGACCCGCAAAACAGCCGCGTAGTAAGTGTGAATCGCAGTGTCCAATATATTTTTAATCCAAACATGTAGTGACTCAGTCACGATACAGTGCAGTTTGGACTATAGTACAAATAGGTCTCACTAGTTAACAAACTAGCAAACGTTTTAATATGAGCACATCATTTCTCTATGACTGTTAGTATGTGAAACACGATGAAGGTTGTCCGGGTTGTCTTGTTGATTAAATTAAACTGCTAAACCAGAACTATCATACAAAATCTTCTGTAGAGGAGATTATCCCAACTGATAAATAGTTCGCGATAAATGATGCACCTATAAAAACAGAGTCTGACTGTCCCTATCGCGTCATTTACGAGCGGTTAACGCTGCTTGGAACTCTCAAAATGCCTCAAGTTGGTTCATTCGTTTAGTGTTGGTACGCCAGACAAATTCCTCATCTATTTATTTGGAACAAAAATCGGCAGTCTGATTATTTTATGGCATCATTACTCGCCAATCCTGGTGCTATCATTTCGTTTGCCTTGCTTCTGATGTTCGGACACTAAACTTAAAGTGCAAGCGCAAGTATCCGTGATAAAACTACTTCGTGTGATTTTTCAAATAATTTTAACTAGAAACCGTTTACCAACATGTGACAAGCTGGAAACGAACGATTTGTGTCCCGGGCATTCTACGTTTAATTGTACACCAATTGTGATGCTAGTTGTGTGACCGACTGGGCTTCACGACACACTTTTGTCTGTGCCATTGACCTGGCGATCAATTAAATCACTCCAGTGAGACTGAAAGTTGTATCAGCAGAACTGTGGTGCTAGTCGATGATAGAACAATGAGATTCACAAAATTACGTCACTTTTCAACCGCTAACAAAGCCCATTTTACATATTATCTCAAGCAATTAACGATGTGCAAAAACCTGGCAGACAGACAGGTAGGATCGAGAAATCGCATTCTCTCTACCGTGTTCGTCATCATCATCACTGTACAGCGTAATACAGTGAGGCAAACTTCACTGATCGCTGCCAAAACCATATTGCACACGAGGCAAGTGAGAATGTTTAAGGAAGATAGGGATGGGACTTATTTTTAGGGACGGGAAAAGAAAGCGAACCCCTATGGTCAACACACGGAGTATACAGTCGAAATGTGTATACATACAATTTCAAGTCATTTGGTTTGGTAAGAGGTAACAGCATGATCGCCATTGCTATCGGTTCACAGCCATGACTTTCCGTGTCTACAACCATGCGGTTTTGCAGTTTTTTTAACCCCATCCCGGAAGACGAGAGACACCTACTTTACCTAATGGCTCTGTGCATTTCTTCTTGCCTCGTCTCCACATTATTTGCTGGCCTTTTGAAACTTAATCGGACAGAATGGCTTTGATATCTTTACACACAATCATCAGCACATGAACTGTTATCAATAACATATCACGGGATGTTGGTGAATAGAGCGGGTGTAGGAGCCCACAGAACGGGCTTTGATGTGAACATATTCATCATAATCATCAAAATGTGGCTTCACGTTTGCATCAACGCGACTGGCAGCATAAATAGGTCACATTATGATTTATTGCTAAGTACAACGCAGCTCAGGCGGACTATTTCAGGCTGTGGTACAAGTTTGTGGACATGTATTTGAGTTGCTGGGAAACAAGAGTGAGTCCACGCTGACAACCAAAAATGAGTCAAATGTTGCATTGAACTACAATCTCGGTCATTGTGGCCGTTTAGGCGGAGATACCACACACTACTTAACTCATACTAGATTGAATAATTTTATGTCGGATAGAACCGGTTTGTAAAGATT